AGAGTGTGTGTGAGTGTGTGTGTGAGAGAGAGAGAGTGTGTGAGTGTGAGTGAGTGTGTGTGTGTGTGTGTGTGTGTGTGTGTGTGTGTGGGAGTGTGTTAGAGAGAGAGAGTGTGTGTGTGAGTGAGTGAGTGTGTGTGTGAGTGAGTGTGTGAGCGAGTGAGTGAGTGTGTGTGTGTGTGTGTGTGTGTGTGTGTGTGTGTGTGTGTATGTATTCTGGTGGGGACTTAAACCTGAATACACACAGACTCATGGGGACTCGTGTCACGGTGGGGACCTAAATTGAGGCCCCCACGGGTAAACAAGCTAATAAATCACACAGAATTAAGTTTTTTGAAAATCTAAAAATGCAGAAAGTTTCCGTGTGTGTGTGTGTGAGTGAGTGTGTGTGTGTTTGGACAGCTGTACCTTTACAGGACTCTCCGTTGGCGGTGTACACCTCGTTGTCATGGTAACCGTCATGACACTCACAGTGATACCAACCAGGTAAGTTCACACAGATGGCGTGTGTGTCACACTGAACCAAACCCTCCGAGCACTCGTCGATATCTGAACACACACACACACGGTTCATTATCTCTGCTCCAAACACTCCGCTGACTACATGAACAGCACTTTAAGGCATCATGAGGCAACATGTTCTTGACGTGAGGAAGGTAGGCAGCTGCATTATGCTGAGATTCAGACCAAACTCTAATGCAGCACTGCATGAATCCTCAGAAGAGCTGATAAAAACCACAATAATCCACAAGTAATTCTATGTATGTCTGCACTATCATCTATATTTGCATTATTTTCTTCTGCTGTCGTCAAGATAAATTCCTTGTGTGTGTAAACATACGTGACAATAAAGCTCTTTCTGACTTCTGAACGGTGCTTGATCTGTGCAGATTTCTCCTGATTCAGATGAGATGGACTTTTTCAAAGAGTTATGGGTAAAAGCGTCTTAATGCTGGATGTGTTTCAGCTTTTATCTTCTCCAGATGTTCACTGATGGACTGGAGTGCTGTGGATTACTTGTGGATTATTGTGATGTTTTTATCAGCTGTTTGGACTCTCATTCTGACGGCACCCATTCACTGCAGAGCATCCATTGCTGAGACACTGATGCAGTGCTACATTTCTACAAACCTAACGAAGAAACAAACTCATCCTGATCTCAGATGATCTGAGGGTGAGCACATTTTTGGTGGACTATTGCTTTAACTTTTACTGTCATGTTCAAACTTAATTCTCTTATTGGATGACAGCTAGTGAGTCTGTTTTTGGTTTTCAGGAATCTTCTCCATCAGTTATGCCAGTGAATTCAGCTTGTATATTCTTAGTTTATATCCAGATGATTTGTTTGCATCACAAACCCTTCATATTCTCATATCTCAGTATCTCAGATTATGTTGATGTTCTGGGTGTTATGATGACAGAAGAGCTCGTCATGATGAGATGTGATTGATGTTCAATGATAAACACACATCCACTAATCTTTGAGCCTCTCACATAACAGACCCCATCAGAGAAAGATGGTTTTAGTGCATGAAATATCCCAGTCATATTTCACCCCAAAATAGATGGATGGATGGATGGATGGATGGATAGAATGATGGATAGATAGATGGATAGATGGATAGATGGATGGATAGAATGATGGATAGATAGATGGATAGATGGATAGAT